TCCAAATTTCGCGTTTCCAAAAATGAACTGCACATGCGCAGCTATGTTACCTAACTAATAGCGATATAGACATCTTTTCTATCTCACTTTTTCGCAGAAAAGATATACTATATGTCTCACTCTAACTTATTACACTTAGTTCAGCAGTATAGCTAAAAAGTGCAGACCATCTTTCTGTCACAATATATATATATATATTTATTTAAATTTTGATTAAATCATATAGAGTACGATTCATTAAATGTTGCAAAAGCTTTGAACACCGTATAATAGCCTTCCTTTTAGCGTTCAAAGCGTTTGTACTCGTAGTCTCAAGTAGACTGTGCTTGCTATTGGTTAGATAACAAAGGTGCAATTCATTTTTGGAAACGCTAACATCAAAGGTGCCGACAGAGAGGGTCGCTACTGTGTATACTGTGGTATAACCACCCCTCATTATTACAAAAGGAAGGAACGAAGATATTTCGAAGTTATAATATATCTTAAGACTAAAAGAAGAAAAATAATTGAATTGAATTGATATTAAATAACTTTGAGTCTATTAAAGTTCTAAAAGAATACACCAATAATCACTAAGCGCTCACTAAGCTGCTTCCTCCGCTGAACGCGACCATTCTATCTTCGTTTCTCATTAAAAATCGACAAATCCGAGTAATCTATCTATACTCATAATTCTAGGTTTGCGCATGCGTTATTATTAAAAACAAATAAGAAAATTGAGATTTAGCATAGTTGGTGAAAAATTTTGTCGATTTGGTGAAATTGTTACCAAAAGTGAGGAAATTTGAAGAATTTTGGATAAAGATTGATGAAAAAACATAATTTTGATCTGGCAACACTGGTTGACGGCGTGATGCAACGATTACTGTCACAATTAGGTGTTGGATCGACGAGGGCAGCTATATGAGTGTGCTTGTTTATCCCGTGTACATATCCACCATGTTGAACCTGCTCTTCCTATTTAACATTGTGCGAGTGCTCCTCATGAAGCTGCGCACCGGAGCCGCCGTCGGAACACGCCCGTCGCGATTCATGCTGTAGGCTTTCAGATGACACACGAGCTGAATTCTTTATACCTTGTATGTTAACCGTTTCCGAGAGCGTGTCACGTTTCATGTCGAAAGACGGCACGGGGAAAGAGAAGAGAAGAAAAGAACAATAAGAGCGCGGAGTAACGAACGGGTCTCTTTTCCGCGCGACAGTCATCGACTGAAATGTATCCTCCTCGCGAGGAATTATTCCTCGTGAGATTGCTTCGATCGTCCACCCGTTAGAATTCACTCGACGACATCTTGAAGCGGCGTTGTTAGTCGCCGATAAATCTGCCGTAAAACTTTCGCTTGAAGCACCAGTCTGCTCTCGTTTAAAACCAAGTTAATACTTTGAACACTGAGAAAAAATTGTATTAAAATTAAACAAATATTTGTTCGAATACATTTATGACTGTGAAAACATTTATTTAAATTAAGCAATTATTTTCTGAAATTCAAGAAAAAAGTTTACATTCAGAACTTCTGTATTTCTTTGTTCTGTATTAGAAATTGGTCGCTTAATTTGAATAAATCTATTCACAGTCGTATTCAAACAAATATTTGTTTGATTTTAATACAATTTTGTCTCAGTGAATGAACAAATGGCTGATGCTCTTTGGGATAGTCGCGGAGTGATTTTAGTCGTTGGGAAAAAATGACTGTGTTTCTTTTTTCGAGTACGAAACTCGCAGTAATATTTATCACCGTTGTCCATATTTTACGAAAATAACGTCTAATATTTTGTCATCAACGTTACTGTTAGTACCTCTCTTGGGTCTTCACTATTTAGTGATCCCATTTCGGCCGCCCGAAAAGCATCCTTGGGAGCAGTTTTACGAAGTCCTTTCTGCGATCATAGCTTTCTTCCAGGTGAGCGCCTTTAATCTTTATCGACGACCTTCGAGAGAATTTCTACTATACAAGTAAAATTAATTCGACTGATCAAGATTGAATATATTATATATATAATCATAGTAATAGTGAGTATAATAATAATAATAATAATAATAATATTTTATTATACGCTTGGTATATAAATGTTGGACGACGCATAAATATGATCGCATAATAAACATAAATATTCTCTTCTTGTTGTTAAAAGGCATGCGTTTTATTGAGAAGTGACGGATGTGTTGAGAAACTTTGCGTACACAAATGCGTTCTTCTGCTACGTACGATCAATATTCGAATATTTCGAGGCATTCGTCATCGTGGAATTAACTCGTCTGTCATTCTTCCACAAATTCTTGAAATAATATACGACATTTAAAGATACAATGATTAAAATAAAAAAAAGATACAAGATTAAAATAAAAAAAAAGGAAAGAAAAAGTATGTTACAAGTAAACAAATAAATTGGCGAGTGAAGTTTGGGATATTAAAATACCTAAAAATATTTCGGATACGATGCGATTTTACGCGGGTTGATAGCTTTCCACAACAAGGAACAGGATTTTTTTATTTTCTTTTGAAAACTGCCAAGCCCGAGACTGGAAACTCGAATAGCCGGAAAATGTTGCAGTTAGAAAAAATGCGTATGTATGTTTACTTTTTGTGAAGTCAATCGTACTTTTAACGGTAAAAATCAGTTCAATTACGTTAAAGATGTATTTTTTGTATATGTGTGATGAAAGAAATACAAGCCGCACGCTAGGTGTTTTGCAATTATCACATTCATGTTCAGCAAAAAAAACTCACAAGGAACATCCGCGAAATGTGCGTCTTCGATTTCGACGAAACTTGGCATAAGAATCGTACAATTTTTGTTTAAAAAGTTTTTTCCTATCTGCAATAATTATTAAGACATGACATAAAGGAATGAAACTCTGAGGGCCAGTTTCATCCCTTAAACCTGAGCTATTGACGATAAAAAAGATATGAGTCTCTCTGAATTTTGGCTCTACAAATATTTGCCAAATTTCGTCGAAATCGGAGACGCACATTTCGCGAATATTCTTTATCGGTCAATTTCTTTCCGATATAAGTATTGGAATATCAGACATTTTTTATATAAATGGTGAGAGAAATAAGAATGACTCTTGACAGGTGTCGATAAATCTCAATTTTAATTTTGTTTGGAATTGTTTCGAGACTCCGAGAATGTTTCGCTTCACAACCTTAATTTGCAAATTACTGAGCGCTAAAAATAAGATGGAAAAAATGGAAAAATAACAATCTCGCTGGTAAAACACACTTCGCTAAACAAGACTCTCGATCTGAGATTACTTGATTAAGTAAATTAAATAATAAAAAAAGATTAATCTTAATCAAGCGAATTGATTAATTAATAAAAGAATTAATTAAAGCAATCTTAATTGAAAGATAGTGATAGCTCCGTGACGTTGCATATAATAAAGGAATCGCCTGTGTACGCGCACTTTATATTACAATGTGCTGCATGAAAAAGAGAAAATATTCTTCCAATTATACTTTGACATTTGAACTCTTTTTATTACGCGAAAATTCTGGATTCAATGATACATTCCGGATTTTAAATAACAGCATTGCACCGTACTAAATGTAATTAGTTATCGATGAAGCGCTTCATATACCCGACGCTTTGTGCAGAATAAAATGTCACTGGAGTAAATGAACATTGTTAATAAGTCTTCTGTCGAATTAAGCGTGCCTACGCGTGCCTCGAGCAACCAAAATTGACGTGGAATTGCTCCTATGACATGGAATCGCACGACGCCATCAACGTAATTACACCGTTACGGACGAACCGCCTCGTGTCGTGTAAAATGGTATCGGATCAATAGAATTGCGATTTCACTGAACGATACTATCATACACGAAGCATTTTCCTCGACATTTCACTTGCCTCAATTTAAACTTCCTTTTTATTTTACCGGGAAAACTCCATTGTTAACCCTTTGAAGCATGGTGGGGTCCCACAATCCCACCTTATCTTTCTTCATTTTTAGTTATTTAAGCTATCTTTTTGATATTCTCGTCCGAATTTTTTGTACTTCTAAGATATGTTAGATATTGATATACGTGCTAAAAATGTAAAATGTCAATTTTTTTTTAATTTAAGCATCCTGTAAATAAACAAATTGCATAAAATTATATGTTTTTCAGTAAAAATTCATTTAACGGTGATCTATAAAAACAGTCGTAACAAAACTTGTTCATTTTACTTTTTTGAGATCGCCAATTACGAATTCGGGGTCAGAATTTCAATTCAAAATGACGGATTCAATATGATGGACAAAGATGTTCAAAATTCTTCAATTTCGACAGAAATAGGTACATGAAGATTTTTTGGGTCGCTGATCACGAATTTGTTATCAGATTTCGGAAATTAAAATCCATAATATCATATCAAAGTTAACCATTTGAAGTCGTCATATTAGATCCGCCATTTTGAATTTTTAAATTTTTACTCCAGATTCATAATCAGCGACCCAGGAAACCCCCTATATATAATACATAATCAGTTTCTTTTATTATTGCATAGAAAAGTTCGTGCTTCAAAGGGTTAAAATGCATATCTCTTGGCAATGCAGCATGTAGCGAGGAACTCTTCGAAAATCCATCGGTTATCTTTGCGATTTGTTTGTCAAGCTTATTCGGCCATGACTGCAATAATCTGCCACAAAGCAAAGATACGCTGGTACGAGCACAGAAGTCTATAAACAATATATATATCAATATTACGAATTGACCTTGATATGATATTTTTCATTTCTTTTCATTTATTTCACTTTTTCACTTTTTCATTTTACGATACCGCGTCGATTTCGCAATCTGGCGAATCGTAATCTCTCAATGTCGCACAATGGTGTACAACGAAAGCGTGCAATCCGGTGACATAGATTAAATTTGAAAGTTGACCGGAAGTGTAGCTCGCTTCTCCGTAATCTGTGTGAAGCGCGTTGCAGTAAAGTCGACGGACATTTCTGCCGTTCTGCATTTTCTCCGACCTCGAATATCGAAATAAAACGCCATTTCTCCTTTTTCCAGGGCCTGTGTGTGGCGGTACCTATCGGCTTTTGCAACGGGGAGGTAAGTTCCACTAACGCAGCGCGGTTAAACGGCCACTTTTGCCTTTCTCGTAATAACAATGTGTAATGATATTTTTCCTCGTAGTGTTGCCAGATAATGGCGCAGTTCAAGAAGAAGTGGGAGAACAACGTGCTGTTGCGGAAATGAATTAATTCCTGCACGACCACGACTGTCTCGGTATGTGATATTGACGAAAAGTTCGGGATGGGTTTTTGCGGCCGAGGATCGATTTTAAACGCCACCCAGCTTTCTCGCTTACTTTCTCACGCGAGGGAAAACTCCCGTTGGGGAATAAAACCCGGTCGAGAGCGGGTGGATCAAGAGGAATGCGGCGGGGATGCATTCTCTACAAATTGAATTCGTTATCTCTAAAATCACGGGATTAATTGACAAGCCTCCCTGCTCCTGCCTATTCTATCTCGTCGTCTGTGTATTCTTGCTAACCTGTTGTTCTTCATTTTCTCTTTATGCGAACGACTGAACCAACAATCTCTCACCCAAACGCTTCCACGCGATGAAGCCGATGATCGACAGCTCTCCGCTAGTATTTGTTATTTTGCTTGCAACACCCAAAAAAAAAAATAATTTCAGAACAAAAGGAATTATCTAAATTTTAGAGGGCTTTGTTCTTATATGGTATATGGCCTCAAGAGGATTCCTCTAAGATTAAAAGGAAAATATTATAAACACATTATTCTCAAAATTAGAGGGATTATATGTTATACATGTATAATGCAAATCTTATTGATTTTAATATAAATTTCCTCTTATACACAGATTATTTAATCTTTTTTTAGGAAGATTATTATTTATTCTTACTGTACCTTATTCTTACTGGTTATACTAGTTAATTTGAAAAAATTATTATTACCTACAGCGAAAAATAATATATACATATATATATACAGATATATTATATATATATATATTTATTTATTTATTCCCCTCCTGTTCCCTTCCCATCTACCCTTTTGCTCTCTCCTTCTTCTTTCGCTCCTCCCCTTCTTGTTATTTTATTTTCTCTTTTCTTTGCCTCATCCTCTTATCGTTCTCTCATCATTTTATTCTCTTCTTCGCTCACTCTCTCTCTCCCATTTCATACTCTTGCACTCCTTCATTATCTCCCTCTCATTTTCTCTCTCTCTCTCTCTCTTTTCTTTTTTCTTATCTTTTCTTCTTTTACTATCTCACTCTAATTTCATTTACTTCTCCCTCTCTCTTACTCACCCCTCTTTATTCACTCTTTTTTTCTTTTATTCACACCTCTTCTTTTTCTCTCATTCTCTCTTGTGTTTTCATTCATTTGTCTATCCCCATCTTTCCCTTTTCATCATCTCAACTTTTTTTTCTCTACTTCCCTAACTTTCCTAACTTTTCTTTACAACCCACTGCCACTATTATTGATCTGAGTCACTCCGATTTTCACCCTTATTTGCAGTTGCTCTTTCTCCTCCTCCTCCCCCCCTCTCTCTCTCTCTCTCTTTCTCTCTCTCTCTGCTCATCCTTTTCCGCTACTCCAATCCCTTTCCTAGTCTTTTCTGTTTTTACTTTCTCTTCTCCTCATTTTCCTTCTTTCTTTTTTGCCTTCTCTTCTTCCTATACTTTTTCTATGCCCTTCGCATCCTCTCTAGCTCATTCTATCACTATCTTTCTTCTTGCATCTTTTTTCCGTGCTTACTTGTTTATGACACACGATTTATTATCAGTTACGATGCACCGCGTTGCCAATAAAAACTGCACAATCACAGCTTGACGAGCGAATGTTAATATACGTATGTTCGTTAGTGTAGATTAAAATTCGAGGCTGACCGTTTAGTCTGCATCGCACCATTGACGAGTCGTGCGTAGAGAAACTTCAATTTGGGAAATGTTACATTCGTGCATCAAGCGTAATTTTTTTTTCCTTTGAAATCGCAGGGATGCTTTCAAACGTGTTATGTTCACGAATCATTCAAAGGTTATACGCTCGAATTTTATAAATTATTACCGCAGGCTACTTTTACCAATTTTTGTATATCTGCGATTTTTCTGTGAGGAAAAAAAAAGCAACGACCCATTGGAAATTTATCAAATTACGCGCAGAAATTTCGAAATATTTCTAGAAGCCATGAAATCGGAGAGTTGGCGGTCGAATGAAGAGTAATGCCTAAGCATGTTTATTTCTCGCTCAAGTTGTTCACGTGTTAAGCAAAAATTGTTGCGATTTACGCGAGTGACGCGCTCAAATTTATCCAAAAAAAAAGTTCTATTCGTAAAGTGATTTTTCTCATAGTCTTATATTTCGCTCAAGCGAAGCCTTTTACAAAAAAAGGATTCCTCTTTCGATAAAGCGATTAAAGTGAACCATTCATCTAAAATTTATTAGATATTATTCTGTTTTCCTCTTATTTCATCAAGAGGATTTCTTCTTATATCAATTAATTTTCCTCTTATATAAAGAGAATTATGTTGATTTCAATGTTGGCTTCTTTTGTTCAGTCATGCTCTACTTCCAGACATGAACGAAAAAATAATCATAACTTATAGGTCGGAATATTTGGAACGCTTTTTAAAAAAGGTATGTATGTTGCTGTAACGTACAACGAAGATAATTTACCTATATTTGATCAAATACGGTTTATAATCTATTGCAAGAAGTTAAATAATATATTCTCTCTTTTCACTATGTTTCATATAATTGGTTATAATGAACATCTTTATAGCTATGAAGTCCATAACAAAACTGATTGGAAATTTATTTGTCATGATGATCTTATTTCATTCGTGTCTACTTATTGTAAAACTGGAGTCAGAATACATATGTACTGTATATGTATTGTATATGTATATATATATACATACATACATACATACATATATATATGTATGTATATATGAATATAGACATGATCCATCCGTATCGTGCCAGTGACAGCATCGTGCCCAAGTCTAGTTCATTATGGAACGTTGGCTGTTTCAGTTTATCCGCTCGACCGCAGTTCCGATGGCGAGAGAGGAGAAGGTGTGACTATCAACCAGCCGCACCGTCGGTGCCGCAGGAAGACTGCAAGCTGACTGACCCGATGTTGGCTCAGCATCAGGAACAATACCAAGCCGTGCAGATGATCGCCAATGATCAGTCGGACCAGTAATCATGGTAACAACAATCATACACAGGTGCTCATCAAGTATGGCGACTTGGACGATGAGAGTGACCAGACGCAATGTTGATGTGTCCGTGTGTCGTCGAATTATGCAGGAGATGCGATTGAAAATACATATATATACACTATATACCTACATGTATGCATATACGGGTTGTCTTAAAAATACCGGAACCCCCGAATAACTTTGCAGGATCAAGTTTTCATGAAAAACTTTAAATATAAAAGTTGTAGAAAATGGAATAACGGACTTGACGGTGACCTTGAATTTGACCTTGGTCATGACCTTCAAGATCATTTGGAGGTCAACTTGCGTTTTTTAAATGGGAACTCTTATTTTTTATTACACTGTTTTTTTCTACCAATTAATTTGAACAACTTTTGTCTGAAACATTTTTTATTTGCCTAATATTTTTTGAGATACTTGAGGAAAACTTTATAACTTTTTCAATATTTAACTTACGATATCTCGCTAACTATTTGTCAGAAGAAAAAATGGTACTAGACTTTCTTGCTTTATTTAGTCTCAAGAATATATTTTTAGTATATAGTGCTCTGATTTTTGTTAATTTGATGATTTTGAAATTTCTAAAACTCAGTAAGTTAACAAAAGTCAGGGCTCTATTGTAACAATATATTCTTGAGACTAAATAAAACAAGAAAGTCTAGTACCACTTTTTCTTCCCACAAGTTAGCGAGATATCGTAAGTTAAATATTAAAAAAGTTATCAAGTTTTCCTCAAATATCTCAAAAAATATTAGGCAAATAAAAAAATGTTTTAGACAACAGTTGTTCAAATTAATTGGAAAAGAACAGTGTAATAAAAAATAAGGGTTCCTATTTAAAAAACGCAAGTTGACCTCCAAATGACCTTGAAGGTCGTGACCAAGATTAAATTCAAGGTCACTATCAAGTCTGTTACTTGATTTTCTACAACTTTTGTATTTAAAGTTTTTCATGAAAACTTGATCCTGCAAAGTTATCCGGGGGTTCCGGTATTTTTAAGACACCCTGTATGATGTTGAAATATTACAATAATAGTGAATAATATATTATGTTTATATGTAACATTAAAAGATTATTGTAATATTGTATTGCAATCCCAACAAATACAAACATGTAACAGTTACATTACCGTAATGTAACGAAATGTAACATGTAATGTAACGTGCATGTTGTATGTAACATACATGTTCGTTAAAATTTCCTACTCATGCGAAATGACAAATACATTACATAAATATAAGATGTTACCACAATGTTACATAACCGTTACATTAGTTACAAGAAGCTAATGCAACAGTTATATAAGTTGATAAAAGGTTATATAGCTGGAATATAACTTATTTAACTGTTATATAACTATTGTTACTTTGTTATATAATAGTAACATGACTATTATTAAAATACATTAGAAAACTTCTTAACTCCAAATTGTGACGAAACTGAGATACTATATGCACTATACTATATGATACTATATATTATATACAATACGTATTGATACATTGATGTATCAATACGTATATAATATCAAATTTCGTAACAAATTGGGATTAGGTTTTCTAATTATACCGATACAATCAATGTTTCTTAAGAAACTCAAATCCGAAAGACAACAAATTCTTGATTAATTGTAGGAAAACCAAACATTTTGTTAAATTAGAAAATGTGGCTTGTGTTTGTTGAAGATCATCAAATCATTTTTGTTATAAGTCTAATTGTAACATTTGTAAATAAAATAAAATATATAATTATAAAATATTTATTAACAAAAATACTCCCTTATAAGTGTCTCAACTAATATTTAATGTAATTCTCAATATTTATTATGTTATATTTAATATATAATAAGAAATAAATATTATTTTACATATAAGTATTATATTTTTATAAACCTTTCTATCGGAAATATATATTCATTAATATAATTGCCTCCTGCATTTATTGTCGAAGTAATAAGAAATAATTTTTTAAAATTTTGTCAAAATTATATTTTTACCTATTTCAAAAACTTTATATATATTTAAATTTGTTCATATGTATTCTGAATTAAATTTTTATTATATACGAAACACATAAAACAAAAAATAAAACAAATGTTTAAGATAAAAATCTATAAAGAACTATACCTATCTCAAAGACTATATATATTTAAATCCGTTTATATGTATTCTGGATTAAACTTTTATCATATACTAAACACATAAAACAGAAAATAAAACATAAAGGTTTAAGATAGAAAATGAAAAAACGATATTGGACTATAAAGAACTATAAATTATTAATCTTGGGTATTATTTTCCGCTGCACTGTTTTCTATTACTTTCTCTCTCTTCTTCCAGTTTTGCGAAACGTAGCCATTCTGATACAATAGAATCGAAATCGGTCTCCGTGAATGTACTATATTGCGATGTTACCTTTCCTGAAAAGAAAAAAGATATGTATTAACTGATACCAACGTTCTAACAATAAAAATTGTGATTTATGTATATAGTTTTGTATGTATGTTGTATATAAAACATACTTTCCATAATTTGGATGAAATGCAAGTCAGAGATTTTAAGATCATTGCGTATTCCTTTCCACGAGTATTTCATTGCGCATTCGTTTGTAAAAATTTTTTTTTAAATTGCGATAGATATTGTCTTTAGCGTTACACTCACCAGTCTTGTTTAGCAACTGTTTCTATACAAAGAACCAGAAAGAGATAATTAAGTAAGAAGGCATTAAAACAAATATGGAGTGCATTAAATTCTCACAATTTAAGACTTATGTAGATAAACGTGCATATAGTTCTACAATATATATGCACAAGAAAATTAACCAATCGTGCGTAAAATTTATATAATATTCATTGCATAGATTATAATCGATTTTCTTATGCATATGCAATATAAGGTTATACTAATTTAAACATCAAAAAGAAATAACAATGTTGAAAACGAAGTACCTGTCTAGGAAATAGTATTTTTACTTCCTATTTCCTATATATCAGGTGTAGTAAAAAGAAATCCATTATTTTTGCATGAAATTGAAGGCTTTAATTACCATAGTTAGAATGATTTAGGTCAAATATGCGTCGTTTTGTTCGATAACTTGTTGCCATTTTGAAGGTAATTTCATTATGCCTCTCTCATAGAAGCCCTCGTCCCTATTGGCAAAAAATTGAGACAGTCGATTTTCACAAGCCTCTCTTGAAACGAATTTTTCACCAGGAAAATTGTTCGCCATGGACAGGAACAGATGGTAATAACTTGGTGCCAGGTCCGGACTATAAGGTGGATGCATAAGAACCTCCCAACCAAGCTCCCGGAGCTTCTGGCAAGTCACTATCGATGTGTGTGGCCTGGCGTTGTCCTGATGGAACACAATTCCTCTCCTATTGGCCAAAACTGGCCGCTTCTAGGCGATTGCTTCCTTCAGACGGTCCAATTATTGACAGTACAGTTCCGAGTTAAGAGTTTTGCCGTAGAGGAGCAGCTCATAGTAGATAATTCCCTGCCAATCCCACCAAACACACAGCAAAACCTTCCTGGCCGTCAATCCTGGCTTGGCCACCGTTTCCGCCGGCTCACCGTGATTCGACCACGACCGTTTTCGCTTGACGTTGTCGTAAGTGATCCACTTTTCATCACCAGTGACCAACCGCTTGAGAAATGGGTCGATTTTGTTGTGATTCAGCAGCGATTCGCAGATGGAAATTCGGTCCATGAGGTTTTTTTGCGTTAACTCGTGTGGCACCCATACATTGAGCTTCTTCTTGTATCCAGCCTTATTCAAATAGTTCCAAACGGTTTTTTGTGCAATCTTTAGCTCTTGGGCAATCGAAACAGTGCTTACATGACGGTCGGACTCGACAATGTCCATGATTTTATCGATATTTTCGACAATTGGCCTTCCAATGCGTGGTGCATCTTTGCCTCATCGAAATTACTGGAACGGAATCGACGAAACCAAAATTGCGCGTGATTGGCTGTTACAGTATCAGGACCATAAACACTATTCACATTTTCAGCCGCCTGGCTTGCGTTTCCGCCATTATCGAAGAAAAACTGTAAAATATAGCGTATTTTCTCTTTGCTAGTGTCCATCTTTGACGCGCGCTCAAACAAAACTGAGTCAACTAATCACAAAACTGTCACAGAAGTTTTTTTAGTACGAAATCTCATCTTTCTAACGCCATCTAGTGGAATCCGATCGGACTTATACAACGCGAGATACAGATAACTAAAGCCATCTATTGGAAAAATAATGGATTTCTTTTTACTACACCTGATATTATATTAACGAGGCAATATTTCTCATGTTCCAAAATTGTATTGTACGTGACATGCTGCAATGCTCGATACAGTCTTTTATATACGATAAATGTTAGGCGGCCTGATTGCGAAATCTGGCTTTGTAGAGACCTCGGGGATAGATCGAGGAATATGTTATAACAATTTGGTGCTGATATATGACAGCAACGAGGAGAAATATTTTTTCTTGTAATATGGTATTTCGCAGGACTCGCTGCGATGTTTCGTACAACGCACGCTTTATTAATATATGATAAATTTTTGATAGCCGGAATGCAAAATTTGACTCTGTAAGGGACCTGAATAATAGTTCAAGGAATATTCCATATCAATTTGGCGGTTATATATATCGCCAACAAGGCGGAATATCTCTTTTCTTGTGAAATTGTATTCGCGTGATCTACCTTGACGCTTGATGCATCTTTATTTATTTATAATAAAAGTTAGACAACCTGATTGCAAAATCTGGCTTTGTGAGGATCTTGGGAATAGTTTTAGAGATATGCAATAACAATATGATGATGATATATTACATCAGTGAAGTAATATATCTCATTTTATAAAATGGTATTGTACGCGATCCGTTCCGACGCTTCATAAATCTTTTTTATTTATGATACATTTCTCACAGCCTTACTGCAAAATCTGGCTCTGTAGGTTTCTCGAGGATAGTTAAAAAAAG